ACAACTTCCAATTTTCCCAGATTCATACTTCGTACATTCCATGTTCTGATTTTCAATGCATATTTACAGCTGTATCTCTTCATTTTGAGTTGTGCCCCATCAGCAAATGAAGTTCCCGTGGGCTTTTCTTCCATGGGTTTAACTCCATTCGCGTCATCACAGTCAACTCTATGTTGAGGAGGCAGCTCTTACCCAGTGGCGTTTTGAGTGCCTTCCAACCTGAGGGGCTCTTTTACTGGCACTGTATCTAACAGTGTTTCTCTGCTATTCATAAGGTTTTAAGTGACTAAATATTCCTTAAGTAGTTCATCACTCCTTCCTAGCATGTGTTTGTATGGAAGCTCATCTGAAACCTGTCCACCATGATTGAGCCTGCTGGTATTTAAAATACCGGTGGCATAGCTTTCAGAATCATAGCAGCTCACAAGCCACCACAGTATGACAAACTGACAGACGATTGGTGGAATATCATTAATTGGCCTACAAAATTATCAACTTAAAAATTATCCTGCTATGTTTGGTTAAACATTTAATTAACTCACTCCTAATGTGATGACTGGAACTGCATCTCTGTGATGAGGCTTGTGGTGTTAAGTGGTATTGATGATGTTGCTATTTGCAACTGCTTTTCCAGGTTTGCGTTGGTCTGTTTGGACCACAGTTGATTTGCTGTGGTAAGTTTTGAAAAGAACTGCTCACAGCAGTAAGTTGTTCTGAACAAAGATGAATATTTTAATACATGTCTACTTAAAGTGGGAAATTCATCGTTGTTTATGTAATGTTTATAGAATTTGAGCTATGGGAGGTTATTGTATCTAGCTTTTATCACTTTGCATTATCACTTTGTAGCTGAATGATTTCATGTTGTAGGTTATCAGACATATCATCTGGTTCCACATTGACCTGTGTTGCAAGACGTCTGTTTACTTTTCATGTCCTTAAATCTTTCTCTAAATGCTTTAATTAGTTTCACTAGCATATTCAAATGTATTACTTCATCCTGCAGTTAGTAAAACCTCATGAACATGTTCCTTTTACTCAGCCGCTGCACTTCACAGTGATAAACAGTATCACTTGTGGTGTTACGTTCTTAGAGTCAAGATCATTCAGTAACTTCTTAAACTGGTGGCTGTTAAATCCTCTGCTTTTCACAAAATTTATGCATGACACTACTGTTGACATCACGTTGTTGAGCCTCAATGACTGTATAGAGACTTTCTTGTTGGATAATGCAGTGGCATATAATTAAATCACTTGGATGAAGACTGAGATGGTTGTGTTCTTTGTTGGCAAATGCAATTAACCCTTTTCCTGAGCCAACCATGGTTAGATCTCCATCTGTATTCAGGTCACTTAATTTTTCAAATGTTAGCTCTAGTTTTTTCAATGATAAAACAAGTATCTCGAACAAGTTTTCACCTTTTGTAGTGCCAGGCATGGTTTGCAGTGACAGCAGTTCCTTATGTGTGTCAAAATCTGCAGTTATCTCACAAACGAAAATGGTCAGTAAGTAACATTTGCTGTTTGGTATGTCATAAGCCAGAGAGAAAAATTGAAAATGTGCAGAATCCTTCAGTGTTTTTTTCAAAATCTTCTTAAGTTCAATCAGTAATCTGATCTGAGATGGTTCTCTGAGACTAACACTATGAAAATTTTTTTTTTTACTTTAGTGCTAACAACTCTGCAGCAGCCACCATGCACTGTTTCACAAACTATCCCTCTGCGTGAGGCCTCAGCTTCTTTGAGATTAGTTTGCTTATTACATAACTCATCTGAATAATGTTGTCTCTCACAGCAAGGCTGAGTGAAAGTGGCTTGCTGTGATTTTGAACTCCACTGAGGAGCACTGATTTTATCCAGACACATTCAGCCTCCCGATTTATTGAGTTCAGCATGTTCTGAGCTTTGAGGATGCTCCAGATTGGCTTCTTTCATTACTGCTAAGGCATTGCCACAAACTAGGCACTCAGGCTTGCCTTTGACTTCAACAACAAAAATCATTTATCCATTTCTCTTGATAAGATTGAAACTTTGCATCAACTTTTCTTTTCTTTGTAGTTGTCACTCCACTTATATTTGAAAAACTACCAGATGTGTGTATCACCAGCAATGTGATTATTTTGCTTTGATCGCTGTTTTAATCCTGCATCTTAGAATTGGGACATATCCACCGTTTGTATCATTGACTCTTGAGGTCTTTTTGGTGTACTGTGATTTTCCTTAGTTTTCATCTGAGATTCAATTTTTGCTAAGATTGTTGTTTGTGAACATGTGGATAAAGATGGTATTGGAGTTATCGTCTATGTCAACCAAGAAGTTGACATCATTGTTCGTCATCGGAGGCAAGGTCATCAATGTCACGAGGAATTACCTCATCTCATCTTGTCTCATCATCACCGGATCACTATAGTTTCTCCACAGTGTACTAACATAGTCACAATGTGTGCACTCCCAGCCTGCCTAGCACTAACTGTTCTCTGAGTCACCACAATACAGGCAGATGGGTATCAGGCAGAGTTCCTTCATGAATTCATATGTGTCCTGTCTATCCTGTAATGGATGTTCCTTGCTTGTCCCTCAAAAGTTATGTTATTATTATGATTAACTTAATATGAATTTATGTTGCTATGAGAAAAGCTTCTAGGTTTATTGAATTTCAGGTTCTTCCTGCAGTTGCCTTGGCAGGACCAGACCAAATGGTTTTATGGGCTTTATAAGACCCGTAGGCCAGAGGTATGCCACCCCTGCTCTAATAGAACTGAAGAAAGAAATAGACAATTCTATAAATTCAATAAAATAATAATAAGACTCCTGCTGTGGTGCTGTAGGATCAACATGTACTTCCATCCACAAGACTGGCAGTTCAAACTAATCAGCTGTTCCTTGGAAACTCTATCTATACAGGGTCATTGTGAGTCAGAGCCAACTCAATGACGTTTAACAACAACAACATGATTTTAATATACTTCTTTTGATGAAGTTCAGGACTTCTTGAAAAATTGTCAACAAAAACTCAGAACAACACAATTAGCCACACATACGGATACAGAGCACTCAACCCAACAATAGCTCAACATACATTCTTTTCCACAAGGAAAAGGAACAGTCTACACAATGTTGAAGAATAACAATGAATCTACTAAACACTTCACAATGTAGATGAACTTGGAGAACATTATCCTGATTGAAATTAGTCACAGAGAACAAATATTGTATAAGACCATTGTTGTAAAAAGTTAAAAAAAGATTTTCTTGATAAAAGAAACTTTCTATGATGGTGGGGGGGGGGCGAGCAGGGAAATTATTCATTGGATAGAGGATCGATACATGTTAATATTGGTAATGTGGTAGGGACTACACAACAAGAGGGAGGTTGGCAGAGGAAAGATGAAGGAGACACAGGGAGGAGTGTAAGAGTTAAAGTTGTTGTTGTTGTTAAGTGCCATTGAGTCAGTCCGGACTCATAGCGACCCTGTATAGAGTTTCCAAGGAGTGGCTGGTGAGTTTAAACTGCTGACCTTGAGATTAAAACCAATTTTGAGGTCCAGTGCATTATCCTGCAACACCACACCAGGACTCCAGAGTTAAAGGTAAATCCTATGAACTGATGCAACATGGAGGGGATTGCAATCATTGTAATGAAGCAAAGTATATGATTTGTTGAATGTAAAACTGATGATCTGCTCTGGAAACCTTCATTCAATTCACAATAAAAAATTTAAAGAAAAAAAAATCTAGTAGAACAAGGTATAGAAATAGATATATAATAATATTTGCTAAATATTTATTATACAAATATTACCTATACATATATATAATGGAGTTCTGGTGTAGCACTGTAGGATAAGCACTGGATTGCTAACTGCAAAATTTGTGGTTCAAACTCTTTGGCCACTCCTCGAAAACCTTATATAGGGTCTCTGAATTGAAAGCACATCCATGGCACTGAGTAACAACAACATTTTGTATAATATGATATTTAGAAGTTCATTTGTTTGTACTTCAGTTTGATCCAGAGATAGAATAAAAATGCCATAGGAATCTCATCATTATCATGGTTTTTAACATTCTTCTATTCTGTATGTGCTATTCAAGCTTACTTTAAGCTGTGTAGATGTGAGTTATTGTTGTTAAGTGCTGTCAAGTTGGTTCTGACTCATAGAGGCCCTGTATATTGTGTCTGAGGAGTAGCTTTTGTGTTTGAACCGCTGGTCTTGTGTTTAGCAGTCCAGTGCTTATCCTACAGCACCACACCAGGACTCCATGGATATGGATAGACGTAAGTTAATTCTGTGCTCACTGGGGAGGATTGTGGACTCCTCATTCTACTGGGAAGATTAGATTTGGTGACATGTCATTCTTTGGGCAGCTGATAGTTAAATACTCTTTGAGAATTTGGAATTCTGCATAATTCCATTACTTTATTAATTAGAAAAAACGAACTCTAAACATCTAATTTGAAAGTGATTGATCTGACCTTTTATTTTCTTTTCTTCTAGAACCTGTGAAACAACAACTCAATTATAAAATGACAAATTCTTCTGAAAATGAAAAACCCAAGATAAAAGGGAAGGTTTGTGGACAGTGTGAGAACAAAGCTGCTCTGCTAGTATGTACATTACAGTATGAGTGACAATTTAAGTTTGGAATGATAGTGTATTTTGCCATATTGATTATATTTTGCTAAAGAAATGTAAAACAGTGATTTTTTAATTCTTAGATTTGACATTTGAAATACTTCCTATTTTCTCTGAATTACCTCATAAAAATTATGTAAGAAACTAATATCAACAGGATAGGTACTGGACTTCTAACCACAAGGTTAGTAGTTCAAACCCATCAGCTGCTCTCAGAAGCCCTATGCAGGATCTCTATGAGTTAGGAACTGACTTGACAATATACAACAGTAACAACAACAACAATACTTCAATAAAGATTATATTTCTATATCCCTGGAATGGTCAAATAAGTACTTTTATTAATATGGTTAAAAGAGGTATTGACTGGGGAAATACAAGATATGGGAAGTTTTAAAAAATTTGCATACATATTGGTGAAATAAATACATGGTCATTATAATTTAATATTTAGAGTATGGGCCTTGGAGCCAGACTACTTGGATGAGCATCTTACTATTGCTGCTTGCTTGCTTGCTCTGTGCTCTAGGTCAAGACACTTAAGTTCACTGTTTAAGTTTTCTTATTTCTAGAACAGTTATACTAATGAAGTCTGCTTTCAGAATTAAGTTATTAATGCATGTGAAGAGCGTAGAATAGTACACATCACCATTCACATACTGGCTTGTTGGTGTTGTTAGGTCCTGTTGAGTTGGTTCTGACTCATAGTGACCCTGTGTACAACAGAA